AGGGAAGGAGGGAAGGAGGGAAGGAGGGAGCAAGGAGTTATCTTTTATCAATACTGCTTCATTGGAAACTTCAAAATCAATTTTGAACTTTAGATTCTTACTTATAACAAAGCATAATACTATCAACTGTTTTTTTTTTATTTTAGAAAGAACTGAACTGTGAAAACTTCCAACGATTATGCTCTATAAATCTTCCACTACCAGGCAGGAATTCTTCTCCACAAAGGAAGAATCAACAACTATGTTGTTGATGTTAGGAAATGTTGTGTTAGGAAACTAGTACATTAGGATGAGAGAAAGAATGGAATTTAACTGGAAATATCAAATCTAAATATTAAATTTCCTAAAATGGTCATGCAATATTTGGTAAATGTTCTGCATCCCATAAACAAAGGAGTTAAAAATGTGCCTCCAAAGTATCATTTGCACTGGTTTCTTCATATGTTGCTTGTTGATTAAAACAATGAAAATGAAAAAAGCCTTCAGTGTTCTAGAAAACAGTGGAGATTATATTGGCAATAACTATGAATAATGCAAAATGAAAAGAATTAGAAGTGAGGTGTGGTGGGGGTGCCATGGCTAGGTTCAGTTACACACACAATTTGTTTATCTGACACTTCAACCAGTTTCTAATTCCAACGGCCAAGCACTTATAACACTACCAAAGAAATGTATGCATCTTTCTGGGAAAATTTATTTTTGTAGAATATATACTGTATATTTTACTTATGAACTCAGAAAATCCACGGTTGATCCTATGTAAGCAACCAAATGAAGTACATATTTTGAAACTTCAAATATTTCAGCCCTGACAATATTGAACCACTGAGTCATTCATAATAGTAAGGGAATTTTAAAGTATATAACTGATAAACTAAACTATTAATTTCTTCTGTGTTTAAATAAAAGCCTAATATTTACGTGGGAACCCACATAAACTGTAAGCCACTTTCAGCAATGAATTTAGTTTCTCCAAAACCTACTCCATCAGCATCAAAAGCAGCTCCAAATCCATACTCTCCTCCTTTCATTGCTTCCAGCAAAGAAGTTGCATATGTCAGGTTTGGATCAGGGTACTGGCCACCAAAATCTTCCAGAGGGACACAGTCAACTGCAGAATTAGCAGGAGCTCCTAATTCATCACACAGGATTCTCCGGACATAGGGGCCCATCACTGCAAAAGGGATTTGCCTTCAATTTAAAGACCATTTTCAAATAAATATTCAGAATGAACATCCTTCATGTATTAAAAAAATGGAATTGATCTGTATTAAACAGGATATCATATTACTCTCCATTAAACAGAGTATCATGAAATTCTTTATAAAAATGACTCTTTCTACTTATATGCATATTTGGTCATCTGCACGTGGAAAACTTAATCTCCTTTAAAAGGATGGAGGCTATGAAAGATCTATTGATTACCAAAGAATTCTGGGAATATGCAGAGATATATATCACTCCAGAGCACACAGCGGCAAATTCTAGTAAAACCAAACTATCATCAATAAATCAATGAAAGCAGAAGAGGTGCAGCATTAAGCACATGAATAGGCAACTCTTTTATTTTTTTGTTCTACGAGTACTGCGGAACGAGTACAGTAAATTCACTGAGTGGGAAGAGCCATTTTTGGTCCAGTTTTAGGGTACTTTTGGGAAATGAAACAAATGTCTAATGTGTCACAGTTGCTTATTGCACTTATTTTGTTCTTTATTTCATTCCATGCTGCTATAGAAGTAGAATATCTACACTGGCAGTTTTTACACTGATTTCAGCCATACAATCTGATGACACACTAGGGGCTCACACAGAGGCTGGCAGCCCAGATGCAGCCTGTAACTGCCCACCCTAGTTCAGCTGAGTATGACAAAAAGCATCTACCAAAACCAAACATATTAGCATGGTGATTCATTTGAAGGCAGTTTGGTTCTGGGTTAATTTGTACTCTGGAAATTCCCAAACAAAATATCAAATCCAGCTATTTTATAAAACTAGTGAGAAAGCAGGACAGCAATACTGTATATACCAGCTTTTTTTTTTTTTT